TATATATATATATAATGTAATGCGGGATATAACGCAACCCGCATTACGTATAACTCTTTGGCGTAATCTCAGTTAACCTCGCTAATACAATTTGTACAAATGGTTTTCACACAACGGCAGCAGCTCGTGATTGAGTTTAACTTAGTACAATTATATGTGAATTCAGCTTAGTTAACTTACACACATAAGTGGTCTTCAAGATGTGTCAAAGATCGTAATAGGAATTTAAGACTTCCCTTAAGAAGCGTCTGCTATAATGCATTCAGCCTGACAGAAGTAAACCTATATATATATATATATATATATATATAGGTTTACTTCTATATATATATAGCCGGACATTTAGCTTCTAGCGTGCTATAAATAAATAGAAGGAAATAATTAGCAACTGTGGCCAAAAGTGAACGTTTCTGATATGAAACGTAAGGCTGCTAGATATTATTCCACCAAGTCCGGAATGCTCCATAGAGGAAAGCTACTTAGTGGGATTTCAGATACACTTACCAGCTGAAGCACTTGATGCACTGTAGTCCAGCGGCCAAAACCGTAGCGTTGTATGTTATCTTAATGTTTCGCTCGAGCTGAAGTTTTTATTTTATGCACACGCAAGGCACACACGCACAAGCTTATGTCTATTGTGCGGTTGACTACTCATTGGTGAGATGACAATTTCTGATGAGCACAGCACCACTTGAAGTTGAAGTTGTTGAAAGCAAGACAATATTAGTCTATATTATAGATCGTGTACCCGTACATGTGCATGTACATACAACAGTAATAGTATTGCATTACTCTTACTCCGCGACGTAATCGACTACACGCAGATAGTCGTTAATTGTCGTTGATCAGTCGGCGCGCTACAATTCAAGATCGCGAAGCAGCTCGTGACCTTTACACGTGCGTGACTCGGGACCTGCAGTGACGTCGCTGCGGTGTTGTACCACGGCCGACAAACAATAGCAGCTGCGGCGGCTATAACGTCGAGGCAAACGCGAGCGACACGAAGCTACACCACGCTAGCAGCACGAGGGCTTTTCGAGACTTTACAGCTTAACGGACTTTAATCCTTAGCCTGACAGTCTAATCCTCAATCGGATTACAGTAGTCTCGCCACGAGTGGGTGTGGAGAGTCACCTCGTCTCAGGCAGGCTGGCTGGCTGGCGCGTTAGTCAACGTACTATCAGCGAGTGGGCGCGAATCGCGGCGTGGTAGATGAGGCAGCTATATTCAGCTAGCTATCTAGCAAGGAACCAAACGCATGCCACTCGTTCGACGACACAACTGATTCTGGTTAGACGAGTCGGTCGCGGCTCGCTCCTGCGGGAAGTTCGTCTCTTCTCTCGAGACGCAAACCTGAGCAAAAGGAGGGCTCCGAGTAGCAGCAGCAGCAGCAGCAGCAGCGGCGGCGGCGGCGGCCGGGAAATGGCAGAGAGTGAATTTCGACGCCAGCGGTCGGCATCGAAGCCTCGCTCTGTCTGTCCGTGCGTCCGATTGCTTCGCTAAGCAAACCAAGTAACGCCAATGGCCACTTGGCAAATACCACCAGCTAGAAGCGGTCGTGTATGGCGTTTTCTGACGACCAACCGGCGAGCAAAAGAACGACGAAGCGAAAAAGCAGACAGACTCAACGAACAATGACGGTAGCGGCGAGCGGGATGACCACTGGTGCAGCTCCGACACAGCAGCCTCATAGGCTCCGCCCGCTGGGAACCGCGACGGGGGAGGAGTTTCGCAGCCAATTCGACTCGGAGCGACTGGCGGTGAGCACCCAACAGACAGAGAAGAAAAGAGCCGCGAGAGAATACGCTGCTACCGCCGTTGTTCCGCAGCAGCAGCTGTATTGAAGCCCTGGTGAGGAACAGCCGAAGCCATCGCAGCAGCGGCTGCACGAAAAAGAAGGAGGATGAAGAAGACTTGAGGGTAGCCGACGGAGCGTGCGGCAGGCAAGCAGTTAGATCGACGAAGCCCAGAGTCACCCAATACTGGGAAAGGACCGTCTCTGGGAGAGGGCAATCGGGAGCCCTGAAGCAACCTTCGAGCGGTAGGTCGGAAAGCAAAGGCAAGCACGAGATTATCGCGGGTATTCTGCACTCTGCAAACGGGTCGCTCTGTATGTATTTAGAGGTAGGCGTGTTAGAGCTGTAACAATGATAAACAGCGGACGAAGCAGGGAATAACAGCGAGCTTTTAATGGAAACATGGATAAGACGAAAAATATTAGGTAAGATATTCGTCGTTGGAGTGAGCTAACGTCGAGGCATGAAACGAAAGCCAAGTAATAATGATATATTGCCAATTGCACCAACACTCCTAGTGAAAACTAGCCTTTTCTTCGAAGAGGTCAAGGTATAAATCTCATTTACGGACGGATGTTGGCAACGTAACGTGAATCTCTGGTCGGCCTTTCAAATCTACTGCAGTAGCCACTACGTTAATCTAGATGTGATCCTGGCTCAATACTTGTTTCAGTCAACTACTTTAGCTAGCTTAATCTACTCAAATTGTACTTTGCAGGGCAGCTCTACTTACTTTATATACGCATACGCGTAGAATTTCAAGCCGCAAACGAGACTGCAGTCTCACAACAAGTGTTAGGCTCCGAGAAGGGCAATTGGTTTATATAACAATACAACCAAAATGGTTGTTCAGTTTGTACCGTACAATGGTTGAGCCATAACGAGCATAGAACATCGATGTGATTTCCAATCCTATCCTCATTCTCTATACCTCATCACAGTGAGTTAGTGCCTGTCTGAAAGCATAGGCACACAAGCAGGTAAACAAAAGAGCTACACTTCATGCTTCGTCACCACTCTGGTAGCAGCACGAATGCACCACTGCTGATGCCCCTGTGTTTCTCGAGACGGTATTGATATTGGGGGAAATCACACATTCGTGTGGGCTGCTAACTAATCCCTCGTCCATAATATCATACGTACGAGCATTCGATGCTCTCTAATCTATTATTACTCTATGCTGCTCTGTTGCTTCTTCTACCTATACATTGCGTCTTAGGATCGCCGGCTCCACGGATGAATTTTCGCCCACACGCAACTTTTACCTTTTCATTTAACTTCAGCGGGGTTGCGCTATCTGGGATCGATGCAGAGTGAAAATTTCCCGGAATTCGCGCAGTATGTCTTGTCTCGCACGAGTGCGAGTTACCGCGGTTGTCTGCTCACTTAGGGGCAATTAGAGGGGGCGTTCTAGACCCTTCAACTTATCTTGAAGATGATCATCGAATCAAGTAGATGCTGGCAGTTGCTTGCACAGCCCGTATACGTCTCTAACTTCTAACTGAACTTATTTGCTCAATTAATAAAGCGTTCGGATAAAGTGCGGATTGTGATGCCTGAGATAGGTGTGGAAAACGATAGTTGGGATGGGTGGATTAATATGGATGGCGATCGATAAAGAATAAAAGCTGGGAAAATTTTTGCTTAGGGATTGTGTACTATTGATTGTAGCTCGCGGGATTTTCAGTCGTGTTTTTACTGAGATATTCTGTAAAATCAGAAACTCATTAATTATTTTTCATGACAACGAAACAAACTGTAAAATGTACGGGTGGTTCGCTTTGGAAATGAAAACAAATTTACAAAAAGACGCATAGTCGAGAACTAGTATATGCTTGGAAATTAAAAAAAGTCTAGTTTCAAAACACAAATATCCCAGAACAATTTCGGCAGAGGGTATCGCTACAGGTGTTAGACCATCCCAACAGCTTGCTGTGTCGCAAAAAAATCACAATCGAAATTACTAAGGGTTTTCTGCTGCAGAACAGGTACAGCCCAGTTACGCTGTGGTCTGAGCCTTCCGTGCTGACAAGCTTTGACCTTTGCAAAAAAGACAGTAGTCCATTGTCCTTAGTGAGATGGGGACAAATTCGAATATATTATGAGTAATGTAAGAAACTGACATTACAAATCGAGTGATTAAAGCAAAAAAACAATTAGATCTAAGCCAGAAACTCAACCTGGGATATTTTCTTGTGGTATCTATAGTGCTGCTATCATGGTGATAAGGAAACTCACCGCAGCGTAACGGGGCAAATTTAAATAAACCCTTTTCGATCTACATATATGATACAGAATTTCGTACTGTGACCACCTTTCAAAGTCCGCTACGTCCAGCCTAGAGAAACTAACCCCCACATATGTAAATTGTTATCAGACCTAAAATCGCACCTTTCGGCCAGAATGATTTTCTCTCTCGGATACGGATTTAATACAGACCGCTCGGATTCGGCTGGACTGTACAACTGGATTAGCCCGAATAGAGCAGAACACGATGCTGCATTTGTCCGTTAGTCTAACCGATATGAGCTCCGATAGTAGGAGCAAGGTGAGCACCATTCAAATAGCAGACAGTGAGCGACGGTGTCGGGGGCGAACCCAACAGAGAGACAGCGTGCACGTCAGCCAGATAGCCGACTATAGATAGAAACTGTTTCGCTTTTCCTTTTGTTCTGGGGCTCAAGGCATCTTAGGAATCCGCACACGACACGGAAAACTCCCCACGAGAGCTCGTGCCCCCCCGCGAGAAATTCAAAAACACCGACCGACCGACCGACTGACCGCCAAGAGCTAGGGCTGCGTTAACTATGCTGAGCGCCTATCAGGCATTCGGCAACATTACGGTAGGCAACACACGTCAGTAAGAGACAATGTGTTCAACCAGTAATGTAAAGGGAACTAGGTACCTACGGTGAATCGAACCATTTCGGCAAGGGCACACCGAAATGAGGATTAGGTCGTTTTGCCCCGTTGTGCGACTACTATCTCCACGGCAATCCCAGATGACGCGGGTCATGACTACAATACGCGAGTTCACTGCACGAAGACTTCGGAAATCATTGGCGCAAAAAAGCATTTTCAGGGGGGTTCGGCCAGCCAATGAGTTGAGTTTCATATGTAGAGAACAGTGATGTGAAGTATGAAGTTTGAAACATGATGCACCCCTCCTCCCCACACACCGCACTTCTATTGGGCTATCGCATCACTTCAAAGCAGTTGTGCCGATGAAAACTACGGCAAGATGTGCTGCCTATTTCAGTTGGTCTTGTAAATGATCGCTTGCGGTAAGCGATATATTGGTGGCAAATCACTTTATGTTTGCAGGTCATATAATTAAGCATTTATATAGACGTCTACCTAAGTTCATTTGTAACTGACAAAATGAATTGTAGGTAAGTTGAGGGCAGTACATTAATGCTTTTGTTTCCACAGTGAAAAAGGTTCGTGTTTGTAATATGCTACCGATAGGGCTCGAAATGCATTACTACCTTGAAAGATTATGAAAGTTCCGTGTCGTTTGCCAACGCTTCTGCACAACTAGCTCTTACTGAAGTAATGATGATGCGAATATCGGCATGTCTTACGTGACTGGTTCTTAGTCTACGCAGAAATGTTGAAAATTACCTACCGTTTCAATCACTACCACTTCAACATTTACTACTACAAATAGTACCACAATAGTATCAGTACCGAAGGTTTTGATGTCGCATATACTGGTACTAGACCAAAAAACGGATTTATCACTTTCGCGCGGAGTCTGTGTTTATAGATACTTAACTGGGCGGGAAACGCACGGTAATCGATCAAGGGGCTCAGTACGACTTAGCAAATAGGCTATTGTAGAGGCAGGTAAGATCCGCGAATCGCTTGCCCTATAAGAACTCGCCGCCTTGGAAATCTGTAATGAAAGATACAAATCAATTTTAAAAATGTTTATTTTTCAATAGCACACATTTGCATTGCAGTTATGCTTGTATGGGTCGGCAAACAAAGTTTTTGAATGTCCAACCGGTGAGGAATACCAGTCACAGATTAACTCTGAAGTGTCTTCTGTAATGATATCATCATCGTCGTCGTCGTCGTCATTGGCAATTGCTGATGCTCAATCGCATTACGCACGTAGTTAGCACTTGCATTTTGGCCGGCTCGTACTCAGACTCCGAGCCTATTGTTAAGTCGGATTGTATAATCCACGGGAATGGATACACGTACCTGCTTTCAATGAACACCGTTGTCCATAACAGACTTATCCCTGATGTTTGAAGTCAAGCATGTTCCGAGGTGTTGACGATATACGCAGGACCACACTGGCTGGCTACACCCTGTAGGATTCGTGGCCCCCATCCACTAATCTTATCCGTCTTTACAATATCCTATTCGCTAAGCCGTACTGAACCACTCCTCATCCTCCTGGTCGATTACAATTTTAGAGATTCCACCCATTTAAGTATCTATAGACACAGTCTCTGCGCAACTTTTCAAAGTGATAGATCCGTTGTTTGTTCTGGTACCAATATATGCGACACCAAAAACAAGGTAACAGCGAAACAAACGTGAATCGATTGATTCAACTAATG